ATGACCTCGCATTGTCGGCCCATGTTCATCTTGGAGTCAATAATGACTCCAAGATCTCTTTCTGCCTCCGTGCTCTCAAGTAGGGAGTTCCCCATTGTATAAGTGTGCTGCTGGTTCCTACTGCCCAAGTGCAGCACCCTGCACTTGTCCGTATTGAAATGCATCCTGTTCCTGTTAGCCCACCCCTGTAACCTATCCAGATCCGTCTGCAATCTCTCACTCCCTTCTAGCGTGCTCACCTCCCCCCCAATTTTTTTTTAACCATGTTGTGCCCTAATTACAGGCTTCTCAGGAGAAGGTGTTGATATATTGCATTGGGTACCAAAAAGTACCATGAGCTACTGACTGCAAACATGTTTTGTATTTCTTACTATTACTACAAATGAAAAAACAATACCAATGTTTTCATTATCTGCTTTTCTATTTAACAGGGAGACATGGCTGATTGTTTTTTCATTGTAGAATCAGGAGAAGTGAGAATTACAATGAAAAGGAAGGTAAGAGATGCTTAAAGTGGCTTGAATTAAATTTTTAGAAATATTGAAGTTATTAGTACATTTTAAATGTCAAACAGCAGCTGTCTGTAGTTCCCAACTCAGGGTTTTTTACTTCTTTGTAAAACTCAATATTCAGCAACTTTCCCTTTTTCCCTATCTTTCTCTAATCTGACCTTTCAGAGCAAACAGGATGCAGAAGAGAATGGTGCAGTTGAAATAGCCCGGTGCTCTAGAGGACAGTATTTTGGAGAACTTGCTCTTGTAACTAACAAACCTCGAGCAGCTTCAGCATTCGCCCTTGGAACTGTCAAGTGTTTAGGTATTAATCCAGTGATATTTTTATTTGCCATGGTTAATATAAAAGGCATTATAACTTAGGAAATGCTGTTTGTTCTGTACTGTCTTCCTTAATATAAAGATCATACTTCAGTCACTCTGTGGCATTCTCTTAAAGTTGTTGGATTCTTAGAACATACTGTATCTATTATAGTAAATTGCTGTCTACACTACAGATATTTTTGTAAGTAACAACTGGTGGTACTCACAGGTTCCCAATTGGTCCATCTTTGGACAGAAGTGAAAATGGCTTTATTCTATTGTAGACAGACATAGCAATCACTTGTAGCACTCTTATTTAAATCCGAAATTTACAGACAAATAAAAGATTGTCCTTGCCAAACGGTTTGACTAGCACCTAAGAAACCGGTGCTCCCTGATGTTACTGACTTTCCATGCTACCAACTCGGCTAATCTTTCCATTTCTGACTAATGCAGTTACTCACATACCACATGCAAACTTCTCCATATAATCAGCCTCCAAAATTGGGGCACATATCTGAAGTGGGGAAGCTGATTTTTCTTCACTGGAATGGAAGCATGCAGCCACTGTGTTTTGATGGCTGTCATTTCTCTGTGGCCCAGCAGACAGAAGGGGCAGGGTCCAGTGTTAATCCTCTCATAGCCGCTAAGAATTAGCAGTAGCTATTGACTGAGCACTGGCTCGTACTTGTAAAAGCAGTTGACCTGGCTCAGAGCAAGTAAGCTGCTGCATTCAGTCTGTAGTATCCTGATGAGGCTTGTGGTGTAGAAACAACACTTTATTATTTACAGAAAGTTTTATCTAGAAAGAACTATTTATAGTAAACAGGTAATAGTCTTGCCACTGCCCTTGTGAGGGGCTGAGCTTTGTTGCTGTCCTGTCACATCAAGAAGTTCCTGCTGCCTCACAGACAGTCTCCTGGGATGCCAAACTTCTGGAAACTCTATGTTCATGAACAGGTGTTCATTTCTAGTTAGAAATTTCTGAGCAATACCATCACTAGAAATATTTCTGAGAGAGGAAGCAGTACAGGCATTCAGCCGGCAGCCACCCCCGTCTCTGCTGTTCCTTGTGTTTTCCTGAGACTTGGATGATCCCAGTCTGAGGAAGACGTGGGGAGCAGGGCTATTCCACTCCCATTTCTGGGGTGGGGAATGAAGTGGCAGGGAAAGGGTCCCTGGGCTTCCCCAGACTGGGGACATCCTGTCCCATAGGTCAGTCCAGGAGGGGAGTGGAGCAAAGTCTGTAGCTGTTTCCCCAGGCCAGGCATTCCTGGGGAGCACAAGGGATATTGACCTACTACCCCAAGAAGAGGTTCTCCAGCCAGGTGGGCAGAACACATGGCATTTAAAGTCCACAAGGCCAGGAACTAAAGCAGGGAAAACTTCCTCAAGCCTACTTCCCACATCTGCTTGCTGTTGAATTGCTTCCCTGCTGCCCTGCTGGGTGGCAGAGCTGGCAATGTGAAGCCGGAGATGTAGGGAAGCAAGGTCAGTTAGGCTGTCACCAATCCTGGTTTTCAGCCATTCCCCCTGCCTCCCCCAGCTTTGGAATTACCATCTCTGCTGCTCAGTTGGGCTATGCAGGCATCAAGGGGAAGTCAGTGGGGCTGGGAATCAGGTCTGGAGAAAGCCTCCCTGAGTCCAGTTCCTTTATCACTGCCCTTGTCCTCTAGCTGACAGTCCCCAGTTAGGAAAAGAAGTGGGGAGCAGAGGCTGCTGCACCCCTCACATCCCAGATGAAGCCTGGAGGGAAGGGGAGAGTGGGGCAAAGCCCCCGCCTGTTCCCCAAACTGGCCAGTTCCTAGTCTGGGAAAGAGTCAGGGAGCGCTGCCCTACTGCTCCCCTCCCCTCCCAAATCAGACTGAGAGAGGAACGTACAAACGTTCACTCTTCTTAGAGAGTTTTCTCACAAGGGAGATTTTCCAGGTTGACATCTGGAAAATCCCTTTCCCTGAAGTAACACATTTCCTTTAGGAGAAAAAGGTGATGAGGAGAAAGAAGTGCTGTTATAATACTGTACAATGTGGACATTTCTCAATTGGTGTAAGAACATCCTAAGCCAGCTGAAGTTAATCATTATAACACTCCTCTCACAAAGCTTCAAGGATTTCTTTTAGTCCCTTTAAAATCACACCTTTAAACAAAATGGTGCAACTTTTATGTGCAGATCAGGCTGTTAAAAATTTTAAATGAAATCCATTTCCTAATAGAGATTCTACATTAGGGACATAGAAGTGTTTATCATAGTGTAACTAAATGGATTTTACTATATATCTGAATGATTGATTATTGATAATCCATTACACGATGGATACAGTTCAGACTGTAAAATCATAGGGACATGGACATTTTGCTTTATCTGTCTGTAAAGCACTATGCAAACTTATTTCTGTTACTTACACAATATCTTATCAGTTACAAAAGTAACACTTAAAATTAGTGCCTGGTACCGCAGCTGTGAATGACAGATTTTTATTGTTAGTACAAAGCAGTATTTGAAGCAAAGACACTCAGATAT